GTGTGTGTGTAAGTGTGAGCTACCAGAGATGTGGGCGGTGTGTGTGTGTAAGTGTGAGCTACCAGAGATGGAGGCGCGTGTGTGTGTGAGCTACCAGAGATGTGGGCGGTGTGTGTGTGTAAGTGTGAGCTACCAGAGATGGAGGCGCGTGTGTGTGTGAGCCACCAGAGATGGTGGGAGGTGTGTGTTTGAGTATGTGTGTATGAGTATGAACTGCCAGAGATGGTGGGCGGTGTGTGTGAGTGAGTGTGAGCTACCAGAGGTGGTGGGAGGTGTGTGTGTGGAAGAGAGAAAGAGCGTGAGATGCCAGGAGCATGTTGGTGTGAGCGTGTGAGACTGCAGTATGTGTGTCTGGCCTATGAGGTTGTATGAGTGTGTGTGCCTGAGTGTGAGAGCGGGCGCTGTGTATTTAGTGTGTGTGAGACGCGGGGGGAGGGGCGCAGTTACCACGTGAGAGACCAGGGTGCGTGTAGTGTTACAAAGAAAACCACAGGCCCACATTGGCACCACTTAGGCCACGTCCCCAGATGGGCAGTTAATACCCAACCCAACTGCGGTTTCAGCCTACCCGAAATGGAGTTTAACTGGGCAGTGCGGAATTTTCTGGATGGTACCAATGAGGTAGTCTGTCAGCCGGTCCTCTCCATCCCCAAAGGGAGATGAGGTCATCTGCATGAGACCCCCAGCCAAACCCGCTCCGGAGGGGAGGGCTGCCTCGCCTGAAACAATCTTCCCCTTTTTTTGCTGATAAATTCCTGCCCCACCTCCTTCCTATAAAAACATCTGTTTTGTACAACTGATCGGAGCTGCGCTCTGTTTGCAGGACGGGATGGAGCCTGTTCTGGAACTGATGAATGGAGCCAGTCAGATCTTTGCATGTTACCCAGTTGAATTTTGTTCTTGAACAGTATCTGCGTGTGACAGGAATCCAGGAGTCTATGAAGGAGTGCGTTGAGAATGTGTGTGTGTGTGTCTGTGTCCGTGTGTGTGTGTGAGGGAGAGAGGCCATCCTGTGCGTGTGTGAGAGGAAAGCTAGTGGTGGTTGTGTGTGAGACCAGAGTGAGCAGGAGGGAGACCATGTGAGGCGTGGATTGTCCCCTGAAGGCTTGCAGAGCCTCTCTCCCGGAGACCGTGGTGTATGTGGCCACATGTGGGGTGCCTTCCTCGGGATACGGGTTCTTGGGGTTCAGTCCTCTGTGGTCAGGGAGTGGGCGCCATCACACGTCCGTGTTGACGCGTCACCCGGTATGCTCGGAGCTGGCCCCGAGTGACTGGTGTGTAGGGGGAGGCCACGGGGAAGGTGGATAGCGCGACCTTCTTGACGAGTGCCAGGATTTGGTATTGTGTGTGTTGTGTGGCCTGTGGGGGTTTGGGTGGAGGCGGAGAACTCTGGCCTCTGCCACACGTAGGAGTCCGACTAGACTCCTCAACTGTAGACCATGTCAAAGCCTGAAGCAGACGTACACAAGGGAAAGGACCGCCTCTGCCTATAAAAATAAGATCAAAAAAGGGGAAGGCAACTTTTGGGAAAAAGATTAAATCTGGGGCCTTGAGCGTAAGCGAAACAACCATAAGCGACAGTCTTGCGTGGCTGCGCGGTGCCAGGGGTCTCCGGGTGCTTTGGGCAGTGGAATCAAGGAGAGCCGGGAGAAGGAAGGGGAAGACGGAATTTTTAGGCTGATGATTTGGGAGTACAAGCAGGCCTCACCTTGTCACTCTTTCTGTCCCTCCAGCCCTGTCCTCAGGGACACTGCCATTCTCCAGGAGAGAAGCCAGGAGGGGAAGTGGAAATGACTGTTGAACTAGTCAAAGCCATATCCCAGGTTAGTTATTTCCTTTCTCTTCCGAGGGAGGCAGTCTTACTCTTTAGGATTTAATAATGCCTCTTTTCTTTTGAAAATTCCCTGATTAACAGCGGCCTTGAGGGCCTGGTTCCCACTTTTCCCAGAGGGCGCTGTCTACGCAGACTGCCTGACGGTTCGTGAAACTGGGTGTGATGAGGCATGGAGCCTCCTGGGAGCCCTCTCTTCTTCCCACTCCATTTTTAAAAAAATGTTTATTTATTTATTTCGAGAGGGAGAAAGAGAACTTGAGCAGGGAGGAGCAGAGAGAGAGAGAATACCAAGCAGGCTCTGCACTGTCAGCGCAGATTTTGACGTGGGGCTCGAACCCACAGACCATGAGATCATGACCTGAGCCGGAACCAAGAATTGGACACTTAATCAACTGAGCCACGCAGGTGCCCCCTTCCCACTTTTTTTTTTATTTTTTCCCATTTTTATTTTATTTTATTTTATTTTACTTTATTTTATTTTATTTTATTTTATTTTATTTTTAAATGTTTTTTATTTATTTCTGAGAGAGGGAGAGAGGCAGCATGAGCAGGGGAGGGACAGAGAGAGAGAGGGAGACACAGAATCCGAAGCAGGCTCCAGGCTCTGAGCTAGCTGTCAGCAGAGCCCAACATGAGGCTCGAACCCACAAACCGTGAGATCATGACCTGAGCCGAAGTCGGATGCTTAACCAACTGAGCCACCCAGGTGCCCCTATTTTATTAAAAAAAAAAATTTTTTTTAATGTTTTATTTATTTTTAGGAGAGAGAGAGAGAGAGAGCGTGAGCAGGGGAGGGTCAGAGAGAGAGGGAGTCACAGACTGAAACAGGCTCCAGGCTCTGAACTGGCAGTCAGCACAGAGCCCGACGCGGGGCTCGAACCCACGATCCATGAGATCATGACCCAAGCGAGAGTCGGACGCTTAACCGACTAAGCCACCCAGGCGCCCCTAATTACACATTTAATATTAAAAATCACATTTAATTAATTTTTAAATATTGCCCTTCCCCACACCCACCCCCCTACTGTTTATGAAATCTTCAAAAAGAATCACATGGATTTGGATATCTTTGTCTTTCTCAGCATTAGAACCACTTTATGAATCATCTAACATAATTTTTTAGATTCAGAACTTTTAGATTTTGTATAATGTTACTGAAATTGTATCTGTTCATAAGAACCAGTTAGTATTCTGTTAAGATTCCCCCCCTTCATTTGTCCTATAGGAACAAGTTAGGGATCTCCACGGTGTTAACCACTTTATGTCTTAGTTGTTGTGATATTTAACTTTATACTCCTGAATAAGATGTTTGGATCCCTGTTTCTTAATTATTTTAGTTTTAGATATTATTATCTATAATCTACTACTGTGGATAATAAAGATTTAGTTCAACAATAACTCCAACACACTTACACACACTTTTCTTTTTTGTCAGCCTTCATACATTAATTTATTACTGTTTCAGTCTTAAGTCTCTTCAGGGTAGCTTCGTATCTTTTATCAATTTTGGAAATTTTTCAACCATTATCTTTTCAAACATTAGCTCAGACACTTCCTTTCCTCTTCTTCTCAAATTGCAGTTACATAAAGACTAGATCTTTTAGGGGGCACTTGGGTGGCTTAGTCTGTTAAGCATTTGACTTTGGCTCAGGTCATGATCTCATAGGCTCACATTGGGCTCTGTGCTGACAGCTCAGAGCCTGGAGCCTGCTTCAGATTCTGTGTCTCCATTTCTCTCTGCCCCTCACCTGCCTCTCTCTCAAAAATAAATCTTAAAAATTAAAAAAAAAAAAAAAGGAATGGGAAGTTATGTTCTCCCTCAAGAGTGGAGCATCTAAGTAAATGATTTGGAATCCTTCTGCATCAGAGATTTGTCTATTCTCCTCCACTTATTTATGCAGTCATTTATTTGTATCAGCATGGACTCATGCATATTTATTTTGTGCCATAGCTTGTACCATCCAATACTACTTTATTTTGTTGTTCAGATCTTTCTAGCTTTGGCCACTAGGAGCTTTTTTAGCGACTCCTGCATCCTGGTGACACGTCTTGTCATTGCAGGGTATTTTTTGTGTGTTGAACACTGACTTGGACACTGCATATCTAGGTTATCCTGTGTCCTTTCCACGGGAGTCCTGCAGTGAGCCGCTTCCCCGGGGTGGAGATGGCTTCCGCTTACTTCAGGCACACAGCTCTGCTGAGCACAGCCCAGTCTTAGTCTAGGCAGGAGCTGAAATGCTGAGAGGCAGGGCCTCAGTCCTTCTGAAAGCTGGGTTACTTCTGGCTCCCATCAGTTCTGGGGTATACGCCTTCCCTTGGGTGCTCAACCAAAAGCGTGGGATGTTTACCAGAACCTACGCTCAGCAGATGATAGTAACCTGTGAACAGTCTAAATTTTTTTTTAACGTTTATTTATTTTTGAGACAGAGACAAAGCACGAGATGGGGAGGGGCAGAAAGAGAGGGGGACACAGAATCTGAAGCAGGCTCCAGGCTCTGAGCTGTCAGCACAGAGCTTGATGCAGGGCTCGAACCCACGGACCACGAGATGATGACCTGAGCTGAAGTCGGATGCTTAACTGACTGAGCTACCCAGGCGCCCCAAACAGTCTAGATTAGCCATTTATTGTTGTTTCTCCTCACATGTCAGTCTTAAGGCCTTGATTTGTTGGCTGTGAGTGTTTTATCAGTCTGCTTCTACAGACTGGGAAGCCTGAATAAAATCTCACTGGCGCTCCTAATATTGGAGATTGTGGAAACAATTTAAGGTGGAAACAATTTAAGGTGGAAACAATTTAATTAAGGTATAAAACATGTCTGGGGAGGGGCGCCTGGGTGGCTCAGTCGGTTAAGCATCCATCTTTGGCTCAAGTCATGATCTCACGGTTCGTGGGTTTGAGCCCTGCATCAAGCTCTGTGCTGACGGCTCAGAGCCTGGAGCCTGCTTCAGATTCTGTGACTCCCTCTCTCTCTGACCCTCCCCTGCTCATGCTGTCTCTCTCTCTCTCAGAAATAAAGAAAACATTAAAAAAATTTTTTTCAAAAAGCATGTTTGGGAAATTTTTGCCTTGTCTTTGGGCATATATGGTTATTTTATAACGTAGAAGGGTTGACACTCTTCCCATTACTCTTTTCAAGAATTCTCTTGATTGTTCAATTTTCTTTTTTTTTAAGTTTATTTATTTATTTCGAGGGTAGGGGGAAGAGAATCCCAAGTAGGCTCTGTGCTGTCAGCGCAGGGCTCAATCTCACAAACCGTGAGATCATGACCTGAGCCAAAATCAAGAGTCACACGCTTAAATGACTGAGCCACCAGGCACCCCTCTTGACTGTTCTTATAAGTTTATTTTTCTAGCAAATATTAGAATCAGGCAGTTTTGTTTTGTTTTTAATTTCTGAGAGAGACAGCATGAGCAGGGGAGGGTCAGAGAGAGAGGGAGACACAGAATCTGAAACAGGCTTCAGGCTCTGAGCTGGCAGTCAGCACAGAGTCCCACGTGGGGCTTGAACCCACAAACCGTGAGATCATGACCTGAGCCAAAGTCAGACGCTTAACCGACTGAGCCACCCCGGCACCCCAGAATCAGGCAGTTTTTTAAAAGCCCTGCTGGTTACTTTTTTTTAATTATTAAAAAAAATTTTTTTCAATGTTTTATTTATTTCTGAGAGAGAAAGAAAGCGTGAGCAGGGGAGGGTCAGAGAGAGAGGGAGACACAGAATCTGAAACAGGCTCCAGGCTCTGAGCTGTCAGCACAGAGCCCGATGTGGGGCTCGAACCCACCAACCGTAATATCATGACCTGAGCCGAAGCCGGACACTTAACCAACTGAGCCACCCAGGCGTCCCCCTGCTGGTTACTTTAAAGTTGTTTATTTAGCAGATACATTTTTGACCTTGTCTGTGCCAGCTTCTGGCAGCACAGCAAGAAACAACCAAATCTGTGTCCCTGTGCAGCCTTCTTTGCAGAGGGGAAAATAAGCATAAATAAAGGAATTCATATACATTAAATAGTGAAACATGCGGGCCTTTATTTGGACATAGGGTTTCATTTTTCTTGGGCAGACTAATCTAGGAGTGTAATTTCTGGGTCATACGGTAAATTCATATTTGAGTTCTTAAGGAATCGCCAAACTTTTCCAAAATCGCTGTGCCACTCTGCATCCTCAGCAGCAGTGTGTGAGGGCTCCCAGGTTTCAGTGTCCTCTCTAACATTTGTTACCTGTTTCACTCACTTAATTTTATTACTGTCTGTTGGTTACTTGTAGATTTTCAAATAGATAAGGTTTTAAATTCATCTTTTCATAGTTTTGAAGTGCTCTGAATCCTGACCAGAGAATAGCCTGGAAATTTGGGGGTTTCAAATCTGTGAAGGCTTTTGTTGGCCTAGTATGTGACCAGTTTTTGTTTACTGTATATTGGGGTATACCAGAAAGCTAAAAACTGCATTACCCAGACTCCTTTGGAAAGAGGGTTATGTACGTGACTTCTATGTGCCAGGCAGAGGCTTCCAGTGTAATATGTGAAAGGCAGAAGCCAGCAACAGGAAGCAGCGGTTAAATTCAGGGAAATAGGATTTGATAGCCAGCATGTTGGCAGAAATGGCAGATACTGGCAAGGGGATTTGGTTCTTCTGGGGCAGCTCTGGCTGAAGTTCCTGCTGATTGAATCCTAGCATGTTATGTGCTTAGCTGCGGGTGACACTGGAGAATGGGACTTTGGGAAAAATACCATTTCGGTATAATTGGGCTTTTCTCCTGCTTTCTAGCCTACAGACCTCATTCTTTGGTCCTATGGGAAATTCCATATGTTATTGGATACCTTGCAATAAATGTTTTTCCTCTTAAAAAGAAAAAAGAATTACAGGCTCTTCAAATGCTGTAAATTACAATTTCATTGAATATAAGATCATCAGTAAAACATAAGTCCTGGATATACATATATGTAAAGATATCCATATAAACATTGGGAAAATAATTAACTGTGAGTACCAGGATCACAAGCAATCTAATATATTTTTCTGGAGGATTAACCAAAACAGCTGTTTCCTTACTAGTACAAAATTGTACCAAGTATTGGAAAGAATGTGGCCACTTTCTGCTTGCGTTGACAAATTCATGTGAATGAATTTGATTTTTATAAGAACATGTGGAATGATAGGTATCAGCCAAAATGGCACCTCAGCTGACCAAAAGGTACAAACCAGAATTCAGGAAAACCAGTAGCTCACAGTGAATCGTAAAACAAATTGTTAATACTGGAGCACCTGGCTGGCTCAGTTAGAAGAACATGTGACTCTTGATCTCGGGGTCATGAATTCGAGTCCCAGATAGAGATTACTTGAAAAAAAATGTTAATACTTTTATGTGAAAAATATATTAAGCATTTTCTCAAAGGTGTGTATATCTTCTTAAGTCCTGTACATTGAATATCTTTGTATCATGCCTTTAAATGTTTCCTGTGAAAAAGCAAATTAAGATGTTCTGTGCATAGCACTTTCTTTGGATAGTCAGTTACCAGTGTCTTTGGTAACTTTGCAAATCAGGCGCTGAATATGAAGATTTTTGCTTACAACGGAAATAAACAAAGTTGAAGATGAAAGATGCCCATAATATTTTTAAAAATTCCTTATAACCTGCTGGTGATTGTAACTGGATGTTAATTTTTCTCTTATTACATTTTATTCTTTTTTTTCTTTAATGTTTTATTTATTTCTGAGAGAGAAAGACAGCATGAGCAGGGGAGGGTCAGAGAGAGAGGGAGACACAGAATCCGAAACAGGCTCCAGGCTCTGAGCTGTCAGCACAGAGCCCGACGCGGGGCTCAAACCCACGAACCGTGAGATCATGACCTGAGCCAAAGTCAGACGCTTAACTGACTGAGCCACCCAGGTACCCAAACACATTTTATTCTTTAAGAAATGAAAAATTATATTTATCTGGTTTCATTTTGATAAGTGGCTAAGTATATAGGTTGATTGTACTTAGACTCAGTATACAGTATAGATGTGTTGTAATCTTATGTTGGGTGATCTCCTATGACTACCCAGTTTACCCTGGTGTGGTATGTCATGCTAGTTCTTCATGATGTAGTATGAGAAAACTGCATTCTGTTTATATTCGTTATTTTTATTGCGTAAGAATAAATAAAATCAGGCCTATCAGCTCAGTGCCCCTTCTCTTCTGAAACATTAGGATCCCGTAGAGTACCATTTGTAAAATATCAACTTAGGCATTCTTTTTTGTTGTTTTTAAAGGTTCAACCACAGATGTAGGTCATTCCTTGAGGCTCTTATTTACTGCCTATGGCCACTTGTTTGTATTTTCCCACGCGAAGAAATGGGTTAGCATCCTTTTTTACACTGCAGTTTATCACTTCAATAACTACTATTTTAGGTTGGAGTTTCATATTATAATGGTTTAATTTTTCTTTCTCCCCCAAGGGCCATTTCTCACATAAAGTAGAAACAATTTAAAACTTTAACCTGGAGTTACGCATGAAAAAGAGCATCGGTTAATCCAGAATGTATTTTATCCGGGCATCTGGGTGGCTCAGTCAGTTGAGCATCCGACTCTTGATTTCGGCTCTGCTCATGATCTCGTAGTTCATGAGATCAAGCCCTGCGCCAGTGGTACAGAGCCTGCTTAGGGTTCGCTCTCTCCCTCCACCCCCCCGCCTGCCCCCTTTCAAAATAAACAAACATTAAAAAACTGTATTTGTGTCATTTCAGGATTTGGTGACATTCAAGGATGTGGCCATAGACTTTTCCCAGGAGGAGTGGGAATGGCTGAACCCTGCTCAGAGGAATTTGTACAAGAATATGATGTTGGAGAACTATCGGAACCTGGTATCACTGGGTAGGAGTATTTTCTTCATAATTTAGAATAACTTTAGGGACACTTTACGTTTGTATTTATTATTAGAATTTTTTATTGTGTGTAAGTAGATTGAAATCTTGGAAACAAAGAGGACACTCAGGGGTTGATGAAAATTTCAGATTAAGTCAGTGAATTTGATGTGTGTCAGACAGTCCATGAGTGTGGCCTTTAGTCATTTGGGAACACGGGCCATGAGGTGACTTTTCACTGGTCTCCTGTGCTGCCTTCTTCCCTCTCTCCTACAGTACTGTTGTTATTCCAACTGGATAGTAACGAGGTTTACCAAGAATATGGATAATTATTATAAATTTAAAATACGGATTTTTTATTTATTTTTTTAATGTTTTATTTATTTCTGAGAGAAAGAGTATGAGCAGGGGAGGGTCAGAGGGAGAGGGAGACACACAATCTGAAGCAGGCTCCAGGCTCTGAGCTGTCAGCACAGAGCCCGACACGGGGCTCGAACCCACGAATCGCGAGACCATGACCTGAGCTGAAGCCAGAGGCTTAACTGACTGAGCCACCCAGGCGCCCCAAAACTATGTTTTTATAAACTTGCAATAGGTCAAACCGATGAGACACACAAACTGTGAAAGTGGCTTCAGATCCTCTTAGGGAGACTTAGTTGGATCCTTCCCCGCTCTGGGGCCATCTCATTGTCTAGACTAGCTTTTTGTTTTCTAAAAGGCCCCCTTTATCCTGCTTGTAGTTCACCAGGCTTCTTGAAACTAAATGTATGTCTTTTCTAAAATTTGAGTATTTGTTGGCTTGCTTTCTTCAAATAATTTTTTTTGTTCTCTTCTGGTATTTCAACTACAAATATGTTAGAACCTTTTATATTATGCCCTAGGTAACTGAGGATCTGTTCATTATTTAAAGCCTTTTCTTGTTTGTGTGTCAGATTAGATTAGGTAATTTCTATTGACTTTACTTCAAGTTTATTGACTCTCTGTGTATCCTCTTCAGTGCCTTATTAATTTTTAATGTAGTGAATTTTTGAATTTCGGATACCATATTTTTCAATTCCAAACTTTCCACTTAGTTCTTTTTTTTTTTTTTTTTTTTCTGTTTCTCTGCTGAGAATTTCTGAGCATATTTTCCTTTACATTTTTGGGTATAGATGAAAGAGTGGTTTTTAAATCCTGGTCTACTAATTCTAGCATCTATGTTATCACTGCTTAGGTCTTCATTAATTGCTTATTTTCCTGAGTGTGATTCACTGTTTCCTTTTTCTACTTATGTCTAGTAATTAATGGATTTTATCTCAGACACTATAAATAATACATTGTAGAGGCTGTAGATTCTGTTATATTATTTTGAAGAGTTTTGTGTTTTTTATTTAAAAAATTTTTTTAATGTTTTATTTATTTCTGAGAGAGAAAGAGAGAGAGAGAGAGATAGTATGAGCAGGGGAGGGTCAGAGAGAGAGGGAGACACAGAATCTGAAACAGGCTCCATGCTCCGAGCTGTTAGCACAGAGCCCGACGCGGGGCTCGAACCCACAAACCGAGAGATCATGACCTGAGCCGAAGTCGGACGCTCGACGACTGAGCCACCCAGGCGCCCCTTGTGTTGTCTTTTAAAAGCAGACAGTTGGGGCGCCTGGGTGGCTTAGTCGGTTAAGCGACCGACTTTCACTTAGGTCATGATCTCGCGGTTCGTGGGTTCGAGCCCCGCGTCGGGCTCTGTGCTGACTGCCAGCTCAGAGCCTGGAGCCTGTTTCAGTCTGTGACTCCCTCTCTCTCTGACCCTCCCCTGCTCACCCTGTCTCTCTCTCTCTCTCTCTCCTAGAAATAAATAAAACATTAAAAAAAAAAATTAAAAAAAAATAAATAAATAAAATAAAAGCAGACAGTTAACTTGACTCAGACTCCAAACTCTGTCTCTAGAGGCTCTGACTCAGGCTTCAAACTCTGTCTGGCCGTCCGATGATCCTGTGAAAATACTGGGTAGCATTTCTGCCCCCAGCCCCTTAGAAAATTGTTTAACTTTTATAGAGTTGACAGTTGGCAGTCCCACTAGACTATGTCAGAAGCTGTATGTAATCTGTCTCTAAAATGTGTTTTACCCCTTCATCTAGTCATTCATGCTGTGTCCTTCCATCAGTATTAAGAAACTGGCTTATAGCTCTGAATTACCCAAACTGGCCAATTTTCATGTCTTTTTTTTTTTCTTTGTATGAAGGACTCTGCCTCTCTAAGCCATATGTGATCTCCTCATTGGAGCAAGGGAGAGAGCCTTGGGAGATGAAGGATGAGATGACAGGAAGCCCAGGTGAGTGTGAGAGAACCCGATAGGGGAATCCTTTCTAGGTAATGGCTCAGCTGCTTTCCAAGGTGATACTTTTTCCTTTCTTCTGCTTCTTAGAAATTCTTCTCAAGCCTTTCAAGCCTGAGGAGAAAACAGAAACTTTACTATGTAGCCTGAACTCCCCAAACGCCTTCTCATCTGTTTGAAGGTATCTCTTCTCTCTAATAAGCTAACTCATTTTGCAGAAATCTCTGTCCAGCTCTTTCCCATCCCGTCCTTCCTTTTGCTATGTGACTTATACAAGCTTCTCTGTTTCCTAAACCTTAACCCCCAAATTGGGTGCTGCTTACAAATCCTAGCGCTTACTGCTGCTTGTCACAAAGCGAGAGACCAGCTCCTCCCAGCCCCTGTGTCATCAGCTCCATCCTCCTTCTCTGACCTTATCTTCTAGCACTTTCTCGCTTTTTCACTGTACTTTAGCACAGAGCTTTCTAAACGACATGAGGTACCCAGGTATGCTTCAGGTGTGGTAAAGGTGTGCCAGTATACCAAATCTCTAGGCCTTGAGACACTGGCTGAGGCCAGAGACGGTCTGAGTTCCAAGTTGCTTGCTTCTGGGTCACAGGCAGTATTCTCCTTCGGCGTCTGTGCATCTTACAAATGTCAGTAAGTGCCCGGCAATACTGTTGAGAAGCACTGCTCTTACCATTAGTCACCTTTTCTGACTTTCCACACTCTTTGCTGATTCAGGCTTTTGGATTTCCTGTTTTCTCTGCCTAGAATGCTCTTCTCTTGGCTCTCTGTCCATGCTTGACTGTCAGACCAGAGCTCAAAAATCATCTCATCAGGGGCTTTCCCTAACCACCTTATGTAATGAACATTCCCTTATTCCAGCCCAATTACTTTCTACCAAGGCACTGTGTGTTTCCTTTGTAACACTCAGGAGAGCCTGTAACTAGCCTGTTGATGGTTTATATGCTTATTTTCTGCCTGCCCCGCTGAGCTGAAAGTTCACAAAGACCAGGGAATGTTCGGATCATACACGATAGTTACTCCTTTATGAGATTCTCCCTTCACTTCTTTAACAGTATTTGATCTTTATTTACATCTAGAGATGATTTGGATCCTGGACTTCCAGGGTCCTTCAAATACCCAGATACTGGAAGAGAAATTAGCCCTGCTTAGACATACTTTATACTTTGGTTGTGTAGCAACCTACCATCGGCCTTCAATAGGGAAATAGAGGAGCTTTCCGGATAAGAGGTAATAATTTGCCTTGTGAAGAACAGATGAAAGAAGTGTGGGGGGAGGGGGCACCTGGGTGGCTCAGCTGCTTAAGCATCCATCTCAGGTCATGATCTCAGGTTTATGAGATTGAGCCCTGCACCAGGCTGTGCACTGACAGTGCAGAGTCTGCTTGGGACTCTCTCCCCCTCTCTGTCTGTTCCTCCCCCCTCCACTTGCATGTGTGTGCTCTCTCTCTCTCTCTCTCTCAATAAATAAACATTAAAAAAAAGAAAAAGGAAGAAGGAAGAAGAGAATGGGATGAAGCCTATACATTTAGTGGGATATTGAGTCACAGTATAGATTTAAGTCTTATTAAATGAATAAGATATCTCAGTATCTGTGTTGGATCAGCATCTGTGTTGAGAAAGGCCAGAAAGATAAGAGACAACCATGGCTCCCCATGGGGGGTCGGCGTTGAAGACTACCCTTGTGGGAGCAATCAGTGATGTATCCAGTTTTGTTTCTCTGTCCACTATTGCTCTCCTCATTTGTTTTTATAGAAAAACCACAGATGATTGGTTCATTGAACCTTCATGGTGTCAATTCTAGAATTACAGAAGCCTGGGTATTCCTGACCTCAGTAATGACCTGGGGTAGGAAGCTTATTAATACCTTAAAGTCCTTCTTAACTGCTTTAGTAGATTTGATCTCTCCCATCTCTGAACTTTTGTACCAATTTTACTTTTTACCACATGGGCTCACACAGTATTTCATATTTTCTTCTCAAATTACTTTCTTTGTTGGTCTTGCGTTTCTTTCTTTCTTTCTTTTTAAGGTTTTTATTTTTTTTGAGAGAGAGAGAGAGACTGAGTGTGAGCGAGGGAGGGGCAGAGAGAGGGAGACAGAATCTGAAGCAGGCTCTAGGCTCTGAGCTGTCAGCAGAGCTCAATGCAGAGCTCGAACTCAACGAACCACAAGATCATGACCTGAGCCAAAGTCGAATGCTGAACTGACTGAGCCACCCAGGTACTCCTGATCTTGCCTTTCTAATCACTTTCTTTCTTTTTTTAATGTTTTATTTATTTTTGAGAGAGAGACAGAGAGACAGCATGAGCAGGGGAGGGTCAGAGAGAGAGGGAGACACAGAATCTGAAGACAGGCTCTAGGGTCTGAGCTAGCTGTTAGCACAGAGCCCGATGCGGGGCTCGAACCCAAGAACCGTGAGATCATGACCTGAGCTGAAGTCAGACGCTTAACCGATTGAGCCACCCAGGCGCTCCTCTAATCACTTACTATACTACTCAAGAACAACTTGTCTTTTATTATCTTCATGTCCCTAATGCTTGACACACAGAAAACTGCTTTAGGGAGCATTGGATTAGTCAGGCATTTGCTATGGATAAGTTAGGAAAGGAAAGCACTTTCTCTTTTGCCCTTTCTTGATGCCAGCTTTTTCTCTGAAGTTTTCTCTTAGTGTCATCTCTTCAATACAGATTTCTTCTTCGTATATTTATTGAGAACTTATATATGCCTGAGTTTCTGTGATATATGGTAGGTGGTGTAGTAGCCATATTTCAGGCATATTTATTTCTTCCGTGAAGCTTATATGCTAGCTTGCAAGGCAAGAAACTTATTTTAAGTGGCAATAAAAGGAATTAATAATAGTAAACCCAGGGGCTCCTGGGTGGCAGAGTCAATTAAGTATTCGACTTTGGCTTGGGTCATGATCTCATAGTTTGTGAGTTTGAACCCAGCATTGGGCTCTGTGCTGACAGCTCAGAGCCTAGAGCCTGCTTTGGCTACAATGTCTCTCTCTCTGCTCCTCCCCTGCTCATACTTTGTCTCTCTCAGAAATGAATAAGCATTAAATAATAGTAATACCCACCTACATGTCATTATGAAACTAGTTTATTAAAAAAGACTTATGGTGGGGCACCTGGGTGGCTCAGCTGGTTAAGCATCTGACTCTTCATCCCCCATTAAGATATGGCCTGAGAAGTGAGAATGAGTAGAGAATGGAAAAATGCCTTAATATGGAGCCTGAAGTTCAGGGCTCTCTGAGAAATGCAGAATTCACTATTGAAACATGTAGCAATGGTACATACAAACACCATTTTCTTTTTTTAAAATTTATTTCTAGGAGAGAGAGAGAGACAGCGTGAGCAGGGAAGGGTCAGAGAGAGAGGGAAACACAGACTCTGAAACAGGCTCCAGGCCCTGAGCTGGCAGTCAGCACAGAGCCAGACACGGGGCTCGAACCCACGAACCGTGAGATCATGACCTAAGCGAAAGTCGGACACTTAACCGACTAAGCCACCCAGGCGCCCCACAAACATTTTCTGATTATGAAAAGATTAGTCTAGGAATTTTCCTAAACCCCAAGGGAAATCATGAAGCATGGGATATTTATGGTCTCTGGGCATCTGTAGAGATTTTTGATCAGCAGTAGTTATTGTGATGATACTGGTATTTAAAGAAAATTAACCTACCTGTATATGTAAGTCAACTCGAAGTGGGAAAGAATAGGGGAATGGTATTTAATTTATAGTAAGTCATGTTAGTGCAGGATAAAATATTATCATTGTAGCCTAATTCTCCAGAATCCTATTACCTTCATTTAATTTTCTTAATCACCTTTTCTGTGTTTCCCTGAGCTCTGAGATCTGCTTGCATGTTTTTCAGTTGATGTTCCTGTGTGTAACAGGTTTTGTAGGATTCACTATTTTGGAATCACCTTGTCCACATTAAATATTTCCTTTGTTATATCCCATGAATAAGGAAACATTTGCTTTTTTGATATCTTTCAGATTTGGAGTCTATATATGAGACACACCAATTACCGCTGAAGCACTTCGTGTATGATGATGTGTTAATAGAGAGAATTACAGGCTGTGGACTTGAGTGTTCCACTTTCAGAGAAAACTGGAAATGTGAAGATCTTTTTGAGAGGCAGTTGGTAAGTCAAGAGACATTTATCAGGCAAGGAGTAATCACTCATAACAAAATCCTCACTGAGGAAATAGATCACAAATGCCACAAATCTGACAAATCTGTCCATCTAGACAATGTAGAGGAAAATGTTTATAACCACAAGTCAGATAAAAAAAGCTTCTCCCAAGGTTCCATGGTCGTAAAACACAAGAAAGTGTATGCAGGAAAGAAACTTTTTAAATGTAATGAATGTGAGAAAACCTTTACCCACAGCTCCTCCCTTACTGTTCATCAGAGAATTCATACTGGTGAAAAACCATACGAATGTAAAGAATGTGGGAAAGCCTTCAACCAGAGCCAGCACCTTGTTCAGCATCACAGAACACATACTGGAGAGAAACTCTTTGAATGTAAAGAATGTAGGAAAGCCTTCAGCCAAAATGTGCACCTTGTTCAACATCAAAGAATTCATACTGGAGAAAAACCATATAAATGTATGGAATGTAGAAAAGCCTTCAGCCAACCTGCACACCTTGCTCAGCACCAGAGAATTCATACTGGGGAGAAGCCCTATGAATGTAAGGAATGTGGGAAAGCCTTCAGTGACGGCTCCTCCTTTGCCCGGCATCAGAGGTGCCACACTGGCAAAAGACCCTATGAATGTATTGAATGTGAGAAGGCCTTCCGGCAGAACACCTCCCTCATTCGTCACTGGAGGTATTATCACACCGGGGAGAAACCTTTTGACTGCATCGACTGTGGGAAGGCCTTCAGTGATCACATAGGCCTTATTCAGCATAGGAGAATTCATACTGGAGAGAAACCCTACAAATGTAAAGTGTGTGGCAAAACCTTCAGTTATGGCTCCTCCCTTACCGTCCATCAGAGAATTCACACAGGAGAGAAACCTTATGAGTGTGTCGTCTGTGGGAAAGCCTTCAGTCACCATGCTTCACTCACACAGCACCAAAGAGTGCATTCTGGAGAGAAACCGTATGAGTGCAAGGAATGTGGGAAAGCTTTTAGACAGAGCATACACCTTGCTAGTCACTTGAGGATTCATACTGGTGAAAAACCCTACGAATGTAAAGAATGTGGAAAAGCCTTCAGCATCAGTTCGCAGCTGGCCACTCATCTGAGAATTCATACTGGAGAGAAGCCTTATGAATGTAAGGAATGTGGCAAAGCTTTCAACCAGAGGGCCCACCTTGCCCAACATCATAAAATTCACACAGGAGAGAAACCTTACGAGTGTAATGAATGTGGTAAAGCCTTCAGCCAGACTACCCGCCTTATTCAACACCAGAGAGTTCACACCGGAGAGAAACCCTACAAATGTAGTGAATGTGGGAAGGCTTTTAGTGACAGCTCATCCCGTTCTCAGCATCGGAGACTCCATACTGGCCAAAGGCCCTATGAATGTGTTGAATGTGAGAAGGCATTTAGAACAAAGTCCTCCCTTATTTGTCATCAAAGATGTCATACTGGGGAGAAACCTTACGAATGTGGTGTATGTGGCAAAGCCTTCAGCCATCGACAGTCTCTTACTGTTCATCAGAGAATTCATTCTGGAGAGAAACCATATGAATGTCAGGAATGTGGGAAAACCTTCAGCCAGATCGGACACCTTAATCTACACCGAAGAATTCACACTGGAGAGAGGTCTTACGAATGTAAGGAATGTGGGAAGGTCTTCCGACAAAGTGCGCACCTTACTCATCATCAGAAAGTTCATGCCACGGAGCCCTCTCAGGCACCCACCTCTTCCTCACCCCAGATGTCACCAAGCCCTGGGGATATATCTGCTAGGTATTTCTGGAATTCAGCCACTTTCAGTTCTCATTGCCCTAGTTCCAAACACAATCATTTCACGTGGACTATTCCAATATAAAAACAGGCCTTCCATTCTGTTTTATTCCCTTCAAGTTCATTCTGCACAGTACTGCCACGGTGGTCTTTTAAAAATGTAAATGTAATTAGAGGAATCTCCTCTTAAAACCCTGGTTATGAAAATGTAAACTATTTGATGCGTGTAACATGCTCAGCATAGTGCCTGATCCAGACCAAGTAGTACTTGGTAAATGTTAAGTCAGTATTGTTTAGAGTCTGCCTTAAATTATTTTTAAACAGTGAACTCTGGAAAGCAGTATATCGTACTAGAAGATTATGATAATTTTGGAACTGAAACTATGTCTTAAGGTGGGTAATGAGGATTAGCATGTGTAGTCTTTTTAAAGTTTGATATCATAACAGAATAACATAGTGGCCTCCTTGTGCCTCTGAATCTGAATTCCTTTGTTGCTGCAGTAATTCCGTGTGACCTGACACATAGAATATGTTTTAGAAAGTGTCTAGAGCTCCAGCTAATACTGAAACAAAAGAACTAGAATGTACTGGTAAGAATGTATGACTATATTTAATTGAGGCAAAAAATAAAAATTCCTTAATATTTAAAACTGAACCAATAGAGGCCTTGAATTATCTAGCCCTATTTTAAGACACCTGGGCTCACAGATTAATTCTAAACTTTCAAGGAATCACTGATTAAACCCTTGTAGAGTATAGAAAAAATACTTGAAATGCAATACTTTGAAGTATTTGGAATCCTTCTTTCATGAGGCTAGTTCAATTCTGGTATCCACTCCCCCCTGAAAATGAAATGATAGATTAATTTACTTATCATTCTGTGTAGAAAGGAAATTATTTTTTTTATTTTTGTAAAAAAAATTTTCTAATGTTTATTAATTTTTAAAAGAGAGAGAAAATGTGTGTGTGGGGGGGGGTGCAGAAAGAGAGGAGACACAGAACCCGAAGAAGACTCCAGGCTCTGAGCTGGCTGTCAGCACAGAGCCCGACGCAGGGCTCAAACCCACGAACCGTGAGATCATGACTGGAGCCAAAGTTGGACGCTTAACCGATTGAGCCACCCAGCAGCCCTGTGAATATATATTTTATACATTGGGAGAATAAGGTGATTAAAAGCTATCTTCTTTTTTTTTTTTTTTAGCTATTTTCAAAGCTAATTTGTTACCTCTCAGCATTTTAAATGCTACTAAATCCCTGCTGCAATTCTAAATCTAAGAATTTCTTGAAAAGCACAAATGCAGAAATATAGATGCATACGCACATTTATCATAGAATTGCAAGAAACTGGGAGCAGTTTAAATGTCCAACACATTTAATTAGTAAACTAGTTAACTAATCAGTTAAATTAGAGAAAATTCAGTAGATTGTACAGTCACTGAAAAGAAGATTTTCATACAGAAAGACCTCTTATAATTTGCTAATTGAGGGTGTGATTCTCATAACTATAATACGATGGTATGGTTACAAATATGTAAAATTCATAAACTTAATGAAAAAGCATACCTATCAGATATTTTTGTCTGCGGTAAAAATTGAAGCCACATACACAGAAAAACGTAGACTTTTCCTCTGATGTCATTAGGTGAGGTCTCTGTTGTGTCCCATTTGTACCTGGATTTTAATCCAATCAGAAACTCTCCTCAGGACCCAGGAGGCGGTGGGAAATGAGTCCTCCTTTGGCCACAACTTAAAGGTGGTGCCCGTGTCCCTCCTGCTCCACTTGCGAGAGCGGACCTGCTTCCTGTTCTTGCTACTGTTCTTGCTACTAGTACTGTTGCCCTCACTTTAAAATTATATTCAGTTCTTTTGCTGTCAACCAGAAACTTAACCAATACAGATGTCGGTACCCTTGGATGGGTTTCAGGCAAAACATCCTCAGAAAATGTGGGTTATTAATAAAGTTTGGTGCTTTGACAGCAACAGTAAAACAGCTCATCAGCTGTGGTCTAGGTCATTTTTAGACCAATCGAAAGGACAAGAAATGCCAGTCCAAAGGGTTTGGATAAGCCTTGTGCATAATGGAATTGGAGAAGATAAAGCAGAAGAAATAATGACTTAAATGTTTTGCTTTAAGGCATCGACTAGGGGCGCCTGGGGGGCTCAGTCGGTTGAGCGTATGGCATCGGCTCTGGTCATGATCTCGCGGTTCGCGGGTTCGAGCCCTGCATCGGGCTCTGTGTTGACAGCCAGCTCAGAGCCCGCAGCCTGTTTCAGATTCTGTGTCTCCCTCTCTCTCTGCTCCTCTCCTGCTCGTTCTATGTGTCTCTCAAAAATAAATATTAAAAAAAAATTAAAGTGGTCTAACCTCTAAAAGAGGTTAGAGAAGGGGTGAAAAACTCCCAGAAGTATCAACATTTATATCAGAATCTACGATGCAAATGGTCGCAAAAATGGGGTTTTACTTAATAGTGCTTGACCTTAGAGTTGGAACAAAATTTTGAATTGGGCTGTATTTATTAGTATATACATAGGGCATTACATATATGATATGCTAATTTGTGCAGTTTAGTGCTTTTCTCTTAATTTTTTGGGTAAATGAAAATCTAAATCTATTAAGTCCTGACTGAAACGAAATGATATTTAAAGCCCAGAAATGATCTTGCCTGGTAAACAGGAAGGAACTGGAAAATTTGGGATGCTGATCTTGCTGTCTCTTGTCTGAGTTTCTCACCTACCTTGTCATCAGGCTCCCTGAGACGGGGCCAAAATGCCTTTCCCCGGACCTGAGCCAGGAGGAAAGCATCACTGTTTCTTTACTCGCTGTCCTTAAGATGTCTAGCATTCTGGGAAGGGGGGATGCTCTTAGAAAGGGATTTCTTTCTTTCTTTTTAAAAAGTGTTTATTTATTTTTGAGAGGGGGGTGCAGAGAGAGAGGGAGACAGAATCCAAAGCAGGCTCCAGGCTCTGAGCTGTCAGCACAGAGCCTGAAGCAGGGCTCAAACCCACAAACCACGAGATCGTGACCTGAGCTGAAGTTGGACACTTAACCTACTGAGCCACCCAGGTGCCCTGAGGGATTTCTGACCTCTAGCAAGTGGAGCAGCCCAGGGATTCTGACCCCCAGCAGCAACTCACCAGAAGCAAAGTTGTTGATTCAGTAGTGTGCTTGGGCGGGCTCATTCTGGCTTGCAAGGGTTAATTGTTACATTGTTAGAAATTTTTTTGAACTGGTTGTTAAAAGGTATATATGTATGTGTGTGTGTTGAAATATATACATGTAAATACACGTTTGTATTATGTAATACGTAATTTATATGTTGTGTTATGTATGTTGATAGGTTATAGTATAAATTTATACTATAATGGACAAATTATAATAAAAACAGACAATAGTTTGGAAACTGAGTTTTGAGCATTTATTTACCATATTTTATTTGTGACTCACATTTGTGGGGGGATGCACCATATAATAGTTCCTGGTGTGCCTCTTTCCAACTCTGCACTAAGTGACAACATGCTGGTAACTTTAACTCAGGTATGACAGGAGTACTTCATAGCATACACTACAGATCAAGGCTTGTCGACTTTAAGAGGTGACAGAAAATGTTAGTCATTTGGGTTAAACATAAAAATGTGTTGGGGTGGGGCGCCTGGGTGGCTTAGTTGGTTAAGCGTCCGACTTTCGCTTAGGTCATGATCTCGCGGTTGGTGGGTTCGAGCCCCGC